TATATATATATCCACCACTAAATGGATATATCTAGTGTACATTATAGATACCTTCATAATGATTAACTATCAGTGTGGTGCGGTGTGTGTCGGGGCCTAGACTGGTGTGTAACAACAGAATAATCATTAAATATTTACAAAGTACAATGGATAACCAGTATATGGTGGTGTGGTGCATGGGGCACTAGAGTCCTTTAGTGCTTGATTCAGCCTGATTACTGCATGTAACTATGGAATATATAACTACGGAAGCTGAGAGGCTATGAAACGTCATTATTTTTTCTCAAGATAACATACATTGTTTTCTTGTAATAATGGAGAAAACAAACATTGTTTTTTCATGAGAGCAGAATGATTTATTGGGGCAATACAGTGGTTAGCACTGTTGCCTGACTCCTCTGGGATCTACTCTGGCACTACATGTGTGTATTTTGCATGCTCTCCCCGTGTCATTGTGAGGTTTCCTCTAGGTACTCCGGTTTCCCCCCGCAGTCCAAAAACATGCTAATGTGAATCAGAGTTGCCAAATTGTCCACAGGTGTGACTGTGTGTGTGACTGTGTGTGTGTCCTGTGATGGGTTGGTGCCCTGTCCTGGCTTATTCCCTGCCTTGCTCCCTGTCATATAGGATAGGCTCCTAACTGCCATGATTCCACGTTGGACAAGCAGGCACAGATAATGGATGGATGTAATCATGTGGAAAACTGTGTTTTATTAATTAAGCTACACCATAGATCCCTTCATCACTGCCTTGAAAAACAGAAAGATATCAGAGCAAATGCTGAACAAAATGCTAAAAAACAAGTAGTGCACTGTGGCACCAGGCTCATTTAGTTTGTGCCTATAAAGCTGGAGCCTCCCTAATGTTCTTCTTAGATGGCAAACAATAAGGTTTTCTAAATTTTCTAAAGCAAGGCAAGCTGTTTTAACCTTGATTAAATAAAAATATGACAGGCAGTAGCTGTAATATGCTAAACATTAGGCTATATTCGTCCTTGTAATTATTTCCATATCACAAGAAAATGGTATTAAAAATAATGGGTAACACTTTACTTAAAGCAGTCACGTATAATACATTATAGATACCTTCATAATGCATTATAATGTGTCACACCCTGCATTCCTGCCCCCCTCATTCTCTCCCTAGTTTATCTTACCTGTTTATCATATGTCTTACCTCTTGTTTCAGCCCTCACGTGATTCACACCAGATGCAAAAATGTTATGTGACTGCCATGCATTTGCCTAGGTTAGCAGATATTGTGTGATAGCCTTTTGAGATATTTACCAAACACGGTGTTGTTGGGGTTCATGGCCACTTGGTTCTTGGCAGCATCTCCGATCAGCCTTTCAGTGTCGGTGAATGCCACATAACTGGGTGTGGTCCTGTTGCCCTGGTCGTTAGCAATGATTTCCACCTTGCCATGTTGGAAGATGCCCACGCAGGAGTAAGTGGTTCCCAGGTCAATGCCAACAGCTGGACCCTTAGACATCCTGTGCCAAGTTGAAAATTATGAAGTTTTTACTAGTACCACTGAAACCTAACCTACAGTAATCTACAGTATATCATCCAACCTTCAAAGATTCATCCAGTACACAATCACAGAAACATATTACTGTAGATCTTTTTTTTAGTACAGGTACATAGGAATTCTGTGTTTATTACAGAATAATTTTAATAGATCACAGAACTGCAGAATATGCACAAGTGCTAACATGTTCACATATTTTGGCTTAGTGGCTCCCTAGATATGGGTGACTCAGTTAGCATGCTAACATTTAGCTATGTAACTGGTAGCTTAAAGCTCTCCTATGAGAGTTACCAGAGTCATGAAAAATTGTTGCTTTTTGCAACAAATTTATTGTCTCATTATTGTCTCTATTATTTTTTGTTGTATTAATGCTTCTATTAGCATCATAAAGTGCATCTAAAATGTTTTGTGATCTGAATTATTGGTGATATTGTAAGTAATTACTTGCTTTTGAAAGTCTTCGGTATTACAATAATATTTCCATTATGGTATTGTTGAATTTTGAAAGCAGTTTAAAAGTGCTTTGAATAAAGATTTAACATGATACAGGGTTTACAGGAAGATCGTGACTTTTTTGTGGAAAAAAATGCAATATGACATTGAGTGCCTTAGACAGAGAGAAGTTTCATCATGCTGTTTAGTGACCGACATGGACACCACAGAAACCCCTGAGATTGTGTCCTGACCATTGTGCTGCATGCATATTAACAAAAGAGTACAGAGTGCATTGGTGAAATAAAACTAAATTAAGAGGTCATGAGTATCTGATTTGTTTTTAGACCAAGAAATTAGTGGAATAAACTTTGCCATAATATTTTCAGGAAAAACACATGAAAAGCAAATATAGCCATAATATGTGCACATAAGAGAAATAAACCCTGTAACAGTTTTCATTCTAGTATTGCCCCCCCCCACCCACCTTTTTCCTGAATAAATCTGGAGTCGCTCCTGGGTTAAGGGCCCAGCAATGGTATGATTACTCTGCTAGCAACATGGGTACAGACTTCGAGACAGAGCTACACACTGCCCCATAACACTATGAAAATTAAACCATTTTATAAAATATATATTTGGCCTTGATATTGATCACGTTATGATCCTCAGCCTCTTTTTTTCCACCACATTTAGTGTGACACATTGTTTCTGACATCGGGGCTGAACCCAGATTTGTATCCAGTCAGATGGCCTTTTAGCAGCTCTGTGCTGGCCCTGGGTGTCCCCTGCCGTCAGCACATTCCCCTAAAAAGGGCACTGTTTGTACTCCACTAACAAAGAACTTACTTCATAGTCTATATGCAGTATTCTGGTTAAATCGATTCGAAGCATAATTCTTTCACAGTAACTTGGTTGTGGCCTATTTGACTGAGTGCAGAAATGGATATTTAAAATGATTTTGTTGTTATTCTTATGTGTATTCTGTGATAAGCTGTTCAGCTAACCAATTGTTGTTTAAAACAAACCCACAACTTTTGATTCATAAGCCATATAAATTTAAACCAAAAGTACAATTATATCTCAGATAACTCTTCAAGAAAAAGGCCAAAAATTCAGGAAAATACATATAAAAAGAGGGTGATAATTCAAAATAAGTCTGAAAAAATAGATAAATGTTACATTTGAAGTTTTTTTTTAAAAAGAACCAGTACTAACCAAGTATGGGACTCTTTTTTAGGTAAATTTTAGCATATACAGTATACGTTCAAGACATAAGAACATAAGAATATACAAACGAGAGGAGGCCATTCGGCCCATCGAGATCGCTTGGGGAGAACTTAACTAATAGCTCAGAGTTGTTAAAATCTTATCTAGCTCTGATTTAAAGGAACCCAAGGATTCAGNACTTAACTAATAGCTCAGAGTTGTTAAAATCTTATCTAGCTCTGATTTAAAGGAACCCAAGGATTCAGCTTGCACTACATTATCAGGAAGACTATTCCATACTCTGACTACATGCTGTGTAAAGAAGTGCTTCCTTAAATCCAGTTTGAAATGTTCTCCGGCTAATTTCCACCTATGTCCACGAGTTCTTGTATTTGAACTAATGCTGAAGTAACTATTCGGTTGAACAGCATCCAAACCTGTTAGAATCTTATAGACCTGGATCATGTCCCCCCTCAGTCTCCTTAAGGATCTAATTGTGAGCCTACTAGGATTATAGCTGCATGACACGTGTTTGCATTCGAGCGTGATTCTGAGAACTCCATTCTAGAAAGAGTACCATTCTAGAAACAGCTGATGTGGCTCGACTCCAGCCACAAGGGGTGTGGCATGCCCTGCTGCATATCAGCTAAAAACAGCACCAATTCTGTCCATGCCAAATGGGCCTGGCCACTCCCTGCTAGCTCCTCCGCTGCCACCAAAACCTTTTGTGTCAATGCCATGCAATACTAGCCTTATTAACTAAATGTTGTGGAAAAACTGGAAAAACTAAAATGATTGAATCATAAACATTAAATAAGATTTGCTTCATTACATGCAGTTAAGCTGCTACAACAAACTGTAAGGGTATGCAATTAATACTTTGCAAAAAACGGAATCTGAGTTTAGTTTTAAAAACTGAAAATAAAAATAAGCAATGATTCATATATTTAAAAACAAAACTATGAATGCTAATGGACAATGGAAAAAATCCAATAAAATCCAAATACAATAAAGATTGTTTTTAAGTAATTTGCAGAAAGACAGAAGCCCAGCCGTTTATCCCTATAACTTGACAGCAGTGTCCATTGTTATGATACAAAACCAACACAAGGAGCGATTGTTATTAGGGGGGTGCAGACCATCACCCAGCATTTTTAAAGTATTTATGCTCTCTTGTGGGTTCTCTGGGGAGGAAGAATGGTTAAATATGCAAGGATCATAATGCTGAATGAATTTGTGCTTACAAAATAAAATCTGCCTTCTATTGTTGTCAACCGAGACTTCAAACTTTTTTAAGCAGTTGTTTTAATCAAGCTTATTTCAAATAACTGTTATAAAACAGCTAAACAATTTGGGAAAAAATTTTTTTTTAGAAGTTCTCATTTGGTCACTTTTCACCCAAACATGACAGACATTTATCTTACTAGAATTTTCCACAGCTTAACCAACAGAAGCATGCAAGAGCTGCTCCCTTTGGCAAAGGCGGAATGTTTTCTGTCATTTGCCAACAAGCAAAGCAAAGACCAAACTTCCCCAGTAGCTAAAGCTTGGGTTCTTGTAAATGAAGCGTTACCTTGTTTGGCCAGTTGTATTAGATTTGGATGATTACAGCAGTAAGCTTTTCGCCCACACACTAGCCAGTGGTCTGCCTTGGTCCAAACCGTGTTCACTCTCTGTGTTTGGAAAGTGGATGTGTTGCTCTCAGAGTCTTGCACTGTGCAGCCCTGTGTATATACAAGCACCGAGGACTGAAATTCCTCTGGCACTCAGCTGACGCACAGAAAGTTCCAGGCCTGCTTCTGTTTAGCTCACACACTCCAGCACCCAATAGGAGGGCAGATACCAGCCCCGTCACAGCGAATGAGAATGGAAATGCTGCAGAAGGGGATAGTCACTTCGTAGTCCTGCAGTAAGTGGCACTGAGGGTGGGGGGGCTTCCCCAACAGTTATAAGGCAATTTAAAATGGTTGAAGAAACAAGTAGCCCTTCTTGTAGTAATGGTATGAAAACTACATTTATTGAATGTTAAGAAACTGCAGGTTTCATTCGTTTGTGTAAAAGCCCCTGTAGCTCTCTACTGGACAAGCAATTAGAAGACTGATAAAGGGATGAATGGAGACTTAAAAGAACGCTGTTGTCATTTACAGATAATTTTTTTATAAACGGACTGAAAATTATGTAGGAGACAAAAATAGCAGCAAATTTTAATCATGGTGTCTTTTATTGATAACACCAACCTGACACGTAATCCAGCAGAAATGGTACAAGATAAATGTTATCATGTTTGAATCAGTATAATACTGCTTAATGCTGTAAAAGTGATCCTAAAATAAATCCCTCTTCTTGTCCTCACTTTCAGTAACTGCTTACACATACCAAAAGATTTCTAAGACTGACTTTAGAGCAATTATAACAGGTGCATCACAGCCAAACCCTTCAAACCTTTTCCAGCATGATCCATCCACACGCTGCCATGTAAAAAGCATATTCCCAGAGGAACATACATTGGAATCACACTAAAATCCACAGCATAAATGAGTAATGATTTTAGACAATTTAATTACAATAATCTACATATAATAGTTATGAGACATCCCACATTCACAAGCATTACATTTGCCCAACAGTATGATCATAATTACACAGCCTTCGATTTTCTATAAGTGTGAATGGGAAATAGACACCATGGGGCTCCATTTATGTTCTTTACAACCTTAAGGGAGGTCAGTGGGGAACTCTGTGCCATGGCTATTTTTGTGTAGTTGACATATAAGCAGAGGTCTGGACTCTTCTGGAACAAGTGCCACCCAGCCCTAGTTTTTCTATTTCAGGAACGGAAGCTTGGCATATGAAGCTCGTGCTAATATTAAATCTGCAGTAAGTGATGCATGGTCACCTACTGCCTGACTGAAGAATCATGCATCCAACTGAAGCTTCTTATATATTGTTACAAACTTTGAAAAAGTGATTTCACTATTAATTTTACTGATGATCATATGACAGTCTGAAGTATATTATATATTACACATTATTAATTTAGCAGGTGTTTCTAACTAAAGTGAAATACATTGTCTTTGTTCTGAGAAAGCAGGGTGAGACAATCCCTGTAGCAATTGGGGGTTAAGGGTTTTGCTCAGGGGTCTCATGATGAAATCACTCTGTTGACCCTAGGATTTGAACTGGAAACCTTCCAATCACAAGCACAGCACTCTAACTCATTGAACCGCACACCATGGGTTCTGTTACGTTCAGCAAAATAAGGAGGTAATGCCCACGACCTTTCTTTCAACTCTGTGTAACACTCAAAATGGTGTTATGTCCCCATTAGTCCAGGGATATTAACATATGTTCATAGTTGCAAGAGAGCACAGGAAAGACAGGAGTTTCTAGAAAAGCAGCACTGGTTCCACCCTTGCAACAGACATGGTCTGCCCTCAGGAGAAGAAGCTGCGAAGGTGCTGGATGAAAGGCTCCTCTTTATTCTTGACAGGCTGGTAGGGCCCATTCCAGGGGTCGCAGGCAGATCGCTTACAGTAGTTGTAGACGTGTTCCTCTGCCTTCTTCAAGGTATAATTCAGATCCAACATGCCCTGTAGGCTTCATGGGAACAGGGAGAAAAGTAGAGAGTTAGCTGGAGAATTACAGCAGGGGCAAAAAGGAAAAGGGATTAAGGATCTGCTAGTCAACATGAAACATACTGAAATTTCAATACTAATCACAATTGTGAAAGTATTTTTCACTCAGTTCCAAGTCTCTCTCTCTCTCTCTCACACACACACACACACACACCTGTTAGCAAAATGGATCAGCTGTGACTCATTTTGACACTTGAGGAGTGTCTCTCTGTGCTCCAATAAAATTGTGGCGCAGATGAACAGCTCAAACGTGAACTCCTGGTTGATGCCAGTCCGTTCTAATACTGGTTTGTTCTCTAGTTTCATGCAAATGACAAAGAGATATACACAACAAGTTAAAATCCAGAACTGTCAAATTATCATGTATTTGTTTAAATTTTCAGGAACTGATTATCTACTTGCTTTTGGTTTAAACAAGACAACTTGCACAAAATGTAGCCAAGACGACTTACATTTTATATTTAAGGTGGTATTATAATCATGATCAGTATGACTACAGTACAGGTGGAGTATTGATATATAATTCTATGCAGTTTTTGAATAAAATTGTATTCAGTACCTTGAAAACAAGGATATAAACATAAAATAACTATAAATTGCTACCATGAACTTGGGCTGAAGATTGAAAGTCTCCCCTTTAAGTTTAAGGTTAATGCGTGATTTTTACTCAGAATAGGAAGAACAGCTGTCTTTTGTGAAAGGACCTAACCAAGGCTGTACTTGCAGGCCAGCCGTTCCTGATACCAAGCCTTCTCCACCTGCTGAGAGATGAGCTCTAGGTGGTTACAGCTCAGGATCTCAAAGAGCCTCAGGGCATCGATGTGTTCAAACTCCCGCTGGAAGCCCAGCAGCAGCCACCTGGGCAGCGAACAGAAAGATACAGGATGAGGACGACAGGAGATGTGAAAAATTAAGCTGACAGGAATCAATCACATGATTCCAGTGTATTAACTATCCATTACAGCAGACCTGCTCTAAACAAACATTGTGCTGCAAATACAGCCAATTAGAAAAATATAGCAACGCATGTCTACACATTCACATAAAAAACAATAACCTATACTGTGGCAACACATGTACCCCACAATAATACAGTGTACTAGAGTACAATTTAGCTGAACACAAAAACCAAACAATTATTTTATTTATTTATTTAAGATATAGTCTGATGTTTAGTCTCACATAGAAAAAAAGAGTAACACTTTACTCAAAGCAGTCGTGTATAATGCATTACAGGTGCCTTCACAATGCATCATAATGCATTCATGAAGTATCATAATCACAGCCATAACTATCTATAAAAAGGCATAACACATTATAGCAATGTTTATTATGCATTATGAATGATCTGTGAAGTTCACATCTATAATGCACTATAAATACCTTCATAAGGAGTACAAAGCATCCTTAATTTTTATATTATTATAATATATTTTGAAGGTCTATCTTTAAGTTGAATTTCAGAAAGTCAGAAACATAATAATTCAGTACACAACAATAATAACAATAATAATAATAATATAGTAATAATAAAACTACATACGGAACTGTACTGTACACTGAGCAAATGAACCACGGAAGCTATGTAATATTATCATGAAAATCACAAAGTAATGCATGCATTTGTTACCAATTATTGTAATTAACCCAATTTTTAAATATATATAATAGGCTTTATGGCAGTCCTTTCATGAGTACGAGTTGTCTGTAAGTCGAGCTTTCTCAACCTGGGCACTGCCTGTACTGCTAATGCTGAAAATGGCAAAATGGACCATTTTGTACATGACTGAAGATTATGGGTTATACAAAACAATAAAACAGCTCAAATGACCAAACTAGATATCTAGCTGTTTACACAAGATTAATGACATTGTTTTGCTTTGTGTAAGGTAGATAGAAGCGAAACACAAAAAAACCATAGCAAAGTTACAATTAGCATAAGGGTGGGGGCTACCTGTGGCAGAAGGTGAGCTTATCCATGCTGTCCGTGACCAAATGAGCGTGGAGCTGGGGGTCCAGCTCCTTCAGTAGCTCGGCCTCTAGCTCTAAGCGGTGTACAGTAGCACCATATTTACAACAATACACAATTGCAACATATCAAAATGTTACACATTTTCAGAATTCCATCCATCTGCACTATATTGCCAAAAGTACTGGGACACCCCTCCAAATCATTGAATTCATAAGTGCCAATCACTTCCATAACCACAGGTATTTAAAATCAAGCACCTAGGCATGCAGACTGCTTCTACAAACATTTGCGAAAGAATTGGTCGCTCTTACAAGCTTAGTGAATTCAAGCGTGGTACCAAGATAGGATGCCACCTGTGCAATAAGTACATTTGTGAAATTTCCTCACTACTAAATAGTGCGTGGTTAATTGTTAGTTGTATTATAACAAAGTGAAAGCAATTCAGCCATGAAGTGGTAGGCCATGTAAAATCACAGAGCGGGGACAATGCATGCTGAGGCACACAGTGTGCAGAAGTCACCAACTGTCTGCAGAGTGAATAGCTACAGACCTCCAAAGTTTGTGTGGTCTTCAGATTAGCTCAAGAACAGCACGTAGAGAACTTCATGGAATGGGTTTCCATGGCTGAACAGCTGCATCCAAGCCTTATATCACCAAGTGCAATGCAAAGAGTAGGATGCAGTGCTGTAAAGCACACCGACACCAGACTATAGAGCAGTCCGTGTTCACTGGAGAGACTAATCATGTTTCTCTGTCTGGCAATCCAATGGAAGAGTCTGGGTTTGGTGGTTGCCAGGAGAATGGTACTTGCCTGACTGTATTCTGCTAAGTGAAAGGAACTCAATTACCATTTTGGGTAATTTCACTTTGGGGATGGTCCCTTCCTATTCCAACATGACTGCGCACCAGTGCAGAAATCAAGGTTCATAAGGACATGGAGCGTGTCTGGTGTGGAAGAACTTGACTGGCCTGCACAGACCCCTGACCTCAACCCGATAAAACACCTTTGGGATGAATTAGAGTGGAGACTGCAAGCCAAGCCTTCTCGTACAACATCAGTGCCTGACCTCACAAATGCTGTCCTGGAAGAATGGTAAAAATTCCCATAAATACACTCCTAAACCTTGTGGACAGGCTTCCCAGAAGAGTAGAAGTTGTTATAGCTGTAAAGGGTGGGCCAACTCCATATTAAAGCCTATGTATTAAGAATGGGATGTCATTAAAGTTCATGTCTGTGTAAAGGCAGGTGCCCCGATCCTTTTGGCAATATAGTGTATCTTCCAACTTTTTATCCAGGGATGGGGGGTATGCAATTTATTTCCAATCACACCAATCTTCCGATTAAACACACCAATCTTCCGATGCAGGCCATCTGCACAAAAGTCCCGAGAGAACCTCTCCATGTAGCAGGAGAAGCTCCAGTAGGTGTCCACCTCAGAGTCCATGACCTCCAGGAACCGGCTGCATAGATCATTCATTCCTTGGGCATAACTGACCTCTGAGCCCATGGCAATACAGAACAGAAGTAGAAATACATTTTATGTGATTATGAAGTCAAATTGGTTCATGATAAAAAGCATCAATGCCCAACGTTGACAAGGATTAAAAAATGTACAGAGATGACCAGAATTCTGGTTTTTAATTATCTATTAAATAACATTCACTGTTTCCAATAATTATAGATTAAAATTATTATTAAATGAAAGAAGAGCTTAATATCTTGAATGATAAAACAACAAACAACCCAACCACCTGCAGAGACATTCTGAAGCCTATCAAATGTACCAAGGCAAGAATACACACTGTATTGCACTTTAAGAACTGGCGTAGTCAGAAATAATGGCATTGTATTGCCCATCTAATCCACACTCATCCCACACTTAACAACTTGTACAATTCTTAGAAGTACTGAATGTATCTCAGGGAAATGTGAAAGTTAATGTGTGTTTTTACCTGAATCCTGTCTTAGTCATGATATGCAGTTCTGAAAGTATACACATTCATTTATTGCACATTCCACCTTTATGACAACTTTCTTACTAATTAGCTGGTTACTTGTACTCCTTTATGCATGTTTTAATGTCCATGTTTAGTGTCATTTATATATTTCTATTCTATTTTTTTCCCCACAATGACTGAAATTTTGTAGCATAACAATAATAACTGTAATAGACACACTAATGGGATATAAAGAGGTCTGGTCTTGCTTTCCTTTAATATGCTCACGAAATACTCAATTTGGCTCACCATTGCACAGCCTGAAACTACGGGAGAAATCGCATCTGATATTGGTCCGAAACGGCATTTGATTTTTCAATGCACAGTGATTGCCCAGTTTACTAGATGGGTACGAACTGTAATCCCAGTATTGAGCTGTAATACCAGTATTGACAGTAAACATGATATTTAAAAAAAGAAATATCAATACTGTGTTAATAATTCACATGATAATATCATGAATGATCCAGCATCAGTAACTATCAGATTCATACTCCAACATAACAGTATTGCTCCTTAACGCTGATTTCCACCAGTGCTTAATTGTAAACTCTGAGGTGCCAGAGCTCATAAAGAGCACATAGGCCAACTGCAACCACCGTTATATGAGAAAGTGGAGCACACTGTCTTTGAACGACATCACACACACAATAATAATGGGCTGTTAATTACTTAAATACATAATGCAATATTTTTATTAACATTATTGACTGTTAGTTACATAAAACTGAAAGATAGACCTATCCCATTAGATGAGTTTAATGGTCCAGAAGGTAATGTAATCTATTATGTTTTTACATTTACAGCAAAATACAGTGATCACTTTATTGTTTTGTGACATTTAATTGGTGTTAATGATTTTGCTGGCTGAAAAAAAAATCCATTTTCTTTGCTTGTCATTTTAAGTGTTCATTCTGCTCATCAGTTTCCAGTATTTTGATCAATACTATTGCCTAAATATCCCATATCTTACTCGTTTATTTCCATCAGTTTAAATTGCTGCAATCCAGCAACATGGTATTTTGGTGTACTTATGAATATGTTTCACTCTGAACTGGAATATGAAGTTTCACATATTTCATATTTGTTGCAGCCACATTTATTTCACTCCAAATTAGTGGGATCAGATTAAAAAAAATGTAAAACATTTAAAACGAACTGATATAACTATGCGGCGTTGCTTTAATTTCAGTGCCACTTGTCTCAAAATTTGATCAGGTCTGGATCTTCACTGTTACATGTCTGCAAAGATTGAAAAAGATCAGTCAAATACTTTGATGGTTGTCATGCTAAAGGGATCCAATGTCTGAAACTGCCATTTTTTTGGAATGAATATATGATGCTGCATTAATTTGCTCAAAATTCGATCACTTCTAGTTAGGGCTGCACGATTTATCGATTTCAAATCGAAATCGCGATTTGAAACAACGCGATTAGCAAGTCGCAAAGATCGCGATTTAGGATACACATTATACAGCATGTCGGACCCAGGGTTTAAAACTGCTGTGAGAATAGTTTTACAAATTCATGCCGTGCTCCCTGTGTGACAGTCATTCTCACCAATCACAAGCGCCGTGCTTCTCGCGTGCCAGTCATGCTCACCAATCAGAAGTGGCCCAAGAAGGCGAATAGGCCCACAAACAGCAAACACATGAAACCCAAGGAAAATGTTACATTTGCGGGGCGGAAAAATACTGATTCCGCTACTGAGCTATAAGTGAATTGCCTTCCTATTTCATGGTCCGAGATTGTTTCAGAAAGGTCCTATCATCAATAGAACTGGCGAGCTCCTTTTAAACACCAGCTGCAATATATACACTCACCTAAAGGATTATTAGGAACACCATACTAATACGGTGTATGACCCGCTTTCGCCTTTAGAACTGCCTTAATTCTACGTGG